TTTACCTCGAAACAGTCAGAGCAGCTGTTTCAGCTCTAGGCTTTCTAGTGATGCTCTCAATTTCACATCTTGCTGTAACTAAATAAGGCACTGGCATCTCTAAACTTCTGTGGATGGAAATTTACCTGCATGATGCCATTGCCTACCTTTCTTTCCTCTAACCCAGATGTGGGAGTCATTTTCAGTTTCACCCTTCCTTTTCCAGTATGGTATCCACTTAGCCTGCTGCCTCTCTTTATGGGTACCACCTTCAAACATGACTGTCCTCTCATCTCTCCCGCCCAGAACAGGTCCTGTGGCCAGACTGAAACAATTGTTCCTCACAGTCTCCCTACAACCCCACACTTCCTTCATTTCCACACAAAGCAGTAAGAATTATCTCCCCAAAACAGCTGTTTGCTGTAATAGGAAAGCAAAGTTCTGTGACTAAGCTAAACATCCCTCCTGTTCAAGGCCTGAACTGCTTCCTAGGTGCAAGTTCTAGCAAATTGAAATTTCCAAATACCATCTAATATACCTTTTGTTAATTGCTCAGAAACCCATCAAGTATCTGCCCACACTTCTCTGCATATTCAAATCCAGTTTCTATTCTATTTAGTACGCAGCAGGTCTTACAGGTTCAAACCATCTTCTGCTTGTATTCGTCCCCACTCTGGGTAACATTACTTTACTGTCTCCTCTACTATTCTCCCCTCCTTCTTCTGACTTTTTTTTCCAAACAAACACAGTTGGCACACAGCTATCCAATCTCCCTTGCAACTAGGAGAGTCCATGTGGCTCAGCAACAAGCAACATGTAAACCAAAATGTTAACTGCGACTTAGCAGGATGAGGCATTCACATTTTCAATACATCTTTCTTCCTACTAGCTAGAATGCAGATGTGATGGCTGGCACTCTGATAGCTATGCATCATGAGTTTGGTATAGCAACGAGACAGAGAGAACCTGAAGTTGCTGACATCACAGGAAGCCACATCAGTCCCTAAACACCTATTCCATATTACTACAGAAGGAAAGGAACTCCTGCCACATTTAAGCCACTGGGGTTTCTGTGGCTCCATCTATTGCTGGAGACTTGGGACTACCCACTTTACATGCATCTCTCCATCTTCCTGCTTCCAGTTGCTACTTCCCTTGTCCCACTAAGGGGGCCCTTGCACAATTAACTCTCTCTTTCCTTATTCTTATCCCAAAATGGCTGCTTTATTTCTTCAAGTACAGCTTGAAAATAAACACCTTCATGTGATAGGGGAAGTTTTTCTGTATATTTGTTTCTCTTATTGGTTAATGAATAAAACACTGATTGGCTGATTGGCCAGGCAGGAAGTGATGAAGCTGGGCAGAAACTTGCCACTAGCTAACCATAGAGGTCTGTAGGTCTGTACAGACAGATAGAAAGTGACATAGCTGGGCAGAACCAGGATATAAGCAGGAACAAACAGGGAATCACTCTCTTCTCTGTGGAGATGCTTAGCAGTTGCCATGTGAGTCTCCAAAGAAGTTAGAGGTCCAGCTCCTTCTCTAGTAAGATAAGACCATGTGGAAATACATAGATTAATATAAATGGGTTAATAATTAAGACAGAGCTAGCCAGTAAGAAGTCCTAGCCACAGGCCAACAGTTTCACAATTAATATAGTATCTGTGTGTTTATTTGGGGCTGAGAAGGGTAGTGGAACCAGCTGGGACAAAGAATCTCACTATGTTCATGGAAATGATACTACAGCTAAACTTATTCAACCCAGTTGCTCTTTTCTAAACATAAATGCACATCTATGTATCTAGTATAGGCATCTATGTATCATCTAGTACAGAAACAAAAATAACGCAGTTTCCCTTAACAGGGCTCCATCAGCTTCAGAATCTAAACATGCACTTCAAGCAGTACTTCCCATAGCCTCACTCCTGGAACCTGTTGTAGTGAAGCTGACTTGAGAGCACAGCACATCTCTGATGATGCCACTTCCAGGATGGCAGAAACATGGAATTTGCCTACCATGCCTAGCGCAGAGCCTGAAAGATGGCAGGCCATTCTTGATACATGTGTTCTACTAAATACACTGTAACAAAGCTCCAGGATTTTTTTCCCTTTGAGGTCAGGTCCAGCTGTGTGGCACAGGCTAGCCTCAAACTCTCAGTTCTCCTGACTGGGCCCCTGAGTACTGGGATCTCAGTTGTGGGCCACAACAACAACAACAACAACAAAGTCAAGTTATTCAGAGCTCTTCCTGGTGACTGAGATGTGTCATAACACTGGGAGATGCAACTTGGATTTAAAAAGAACTTACACTATGACTGTGAAGTAACAAACTGGAATTTCCTGTGTGCCTCAAAAACATGGCTCAGAGGCAAGTTACCTTCACAGTGACTTAGGGATTCACTTTGTTAGCTTGCTGTCACAGAAGCCGTGCGTGGTTCATAGCAGGAGCATGTGACCTTCCTGCTCCTTTACCAGGCCACCTGCTTCCCCTCCTCCCAAATGCTATATCTGTCCCCAAATGAAGTCATCACTGTCACTCTGTCCCTGACTGCTTTCCCTTTTGGTAAAGGATGAATTTCCATCTGGCATGTGCATGTGTGTCACTAGGCTTGCCTCTGTCACATAAGCTACATGGTGAAGGAACTTTGACTCCCACACCACTGTTGCTCCTAATTTCTTCTGGCCATTCAAATTTCAAGTGATGAAGCTGAGAAGAAAGTGAGTCAAAGTAGCAGAAAGGGCCTGGGAGATGGCTCCACTGGAAAAGGGCCTTGCATGCAAGCATGAGGGCCTATATCTCACATATTACTTGCAAGTAATCACCCCCACAGAGCTGGACAGAGGGCCAAATGCCAAGGGCCCTAAAGCTGAACTTAGGTTCCTAGCTACTGAGCATGCAGAGCTCCAGAAACCATGTAAAAAACCAGGTGCCACAGCACAATCTGTAATCCCAGCACTGTGTGGGGGAGAGATAAATTGATCCCTGGGGCTCCCTGGTCAGCCACCCTACTTGAATCAACAAGCTGCAAGCTCAGTGAGCTACCCTGTCTCAAAACAAAACAAAACACACATATACACACTTGATGAGGAAGATACTGGCCTTCATCCCTGGCCTCCATATTCACATGTACCCCCAACACGCACATACCTACATGAATGTGTATATACACCACACACACACACACACACACACACACACACACACACACACACAAGCAAGAATGTTAACAGAAAACAGTGAAAGGGGTGAAGAAACTCTAAAGTACTCTTACTGTTTGCCTGAAGATCAGAATGTGGAGCTAGCCACTAGTTAGCCATAGAGGCCAGGCAATGGTGTCACACACCTTTAATCCCAGCACTCCAGAGGCAGAGGCAGGCAGATCTCTGACTGAGTTCAAGGCCACCCTGGGTTACACGAGATTCATTCAGTCTAAAAGAAACAGAGCCAGGTGGTGGTGGCTCACACTTTTAATCCCAGCAATGGGGGAGGGGGTGATCATGAAGATAGGAGTGATGGCTGGGCCGAGAGAGAAATATAAAGTGGGAGGAGACAGAAGGTCAGGGCATTCAGTCTGAGGATTCATAGGGACAAAATTGCCCCTTTGGTCTGAGGATTCAGTAGAAATAAGAACTAAGTGGCTGGCTGCTCTGCTTCTCTGATCTTTCAGAATTAACCCCTATATCTGACTCTGGGGTTTCATTTTTAAGACCAATTAGAATTCCCACTACCAGGTCCCCTGAAAAAGATGCTCCACTACTTCTAGAAGCATTTGGTGTTTGCTGTTATAATTATAGAAACCCTTCTAATGCCTTTCCCCATCAGCGGCCCACAGGCACAAACTGAGTGAATATTTAAGAATGCCTGACAAAGACAGGGAAGGATGATTTTAAGATTGGTTTGTATTAATATTATTGCTGATATTTTCAAGTTTTGGTAAGTCACTGACAATTAGAATTCACTGCTCATGTTGAATTCCTGTAGCCCTTTGGGGTCTTGTTTAACAGATGTCTTGGTGGGTTGGGGCTGCTAACACCACCACAGAATGGGTGAGTCAGAACAACAGAAATCATTTTCAAACAGCTCTGGAAGATGGGAAGTCTGCAACCAGGGTGTCTGCAAGGTTAGGTCCTAAGAAGCCACCTCTTCCTACAGCAGCAGGAGGGTAAGAGAGCTCTCTAGGGTCTCAGGGCTCAAATCTTGTCTGGGGTTCCACCCCTGTGATCTAATCATCTCTCAGAGGCCTCACCTGCAGCTGTCATCACAGTGGGATGTGATGGGGTGGGGGGTGGGGGCAAGCCTCCAGTCTATTGCCATAGATATGGAGGCAATTTCTGAAAAGCCTCAGATGCACTTGCATCCCTGAATTTGGTTGCTTTCAAGAAGCAACTAAGTCAGATTTCATCCGTGTCTTTCATCTCCTAACTGCCCATCTTTATGCACAGCTCATCAGCGGATGCTGGAGAAGCTACAGCAAGATGCCATTCTTTGATGATTCAACAAGATTAACAGGAGAGAGCATTCTATTTCCCTGATAACAGTGTATCTCCCCTGCCCCCCCCCCTACTCCACATCCTTATTTTTAAAGTTCAGTAATCCAGAGCTAAGGTTTTAGGCAAAAGAAAGCCTTACAAAGAATCATTCTAGAATATTTAAATTATGTCAGAATTTTCAAACACATTTAAAGAAACATGCACATGTACCAGGCCCCTAGTCTCAGAAAATAAACCTCCTTAATATTCCAGTTAAGAAAAAATATTAAACTTAATAAAGATGCCAAATAGGATAGTCACTAAGCTAACAGTTTTAGCTGAAAACCATTTTATGTGAATTCAGAAGCAGTGCATTCTGAAACCATCCATACAATTGCCTACTGAATATCCATCCTCCTTTATCTTTGGTCCCTGCAGTATGAAGTCCAATAGTGGGACAGTCCTAATGATACAGTGTTGGTAATGTAAGAGCCTGTTTTGTTTCTAGAAAATTGTTCTCACTGGATACCTATAAAACTTGTAGTACATACTTTTATTGCGTAGATTTGCAATTGTCAGGAGTGAATGCTTCTTTTCAGAGGTTAGGCTTTCAGGGATGAGGACAGAATCACACGGTGCAGGTGAGTTCCCTGGGGCAGGTAATCTTGTGGGAAACATCATGGAGTAGGAGGTCCGCTGTCTCGTCCAACTCGCCACTTCCCTCTCTTTAAAAAGCAGCTGCTCATCCATCAGCAGAGTTATGATTTGCTTAGACTTCTCCCGGATATAGCGACCTGAAAAACAGCCAAGAATTTTCTTTAAAGTGGATTAAAACACTAATTAATTTTACTCTAAATAAAATTAAGGCAAAGTTGAAGTGTAGCAAAGTGGAAAGACAAGTAGAAGACTGTTGGTGAACACATTCCTCTCCGTGTTCACTAAGCAAACAAATCATCAATACTTGATGAAACTGCATCTTATCTGGCATTACACTTTTCATTTTAAATGCATTATTGGATTTTTCTTTGGAAAGCCATCCATACTCTGCAGTAAATCCACTAACACAGGCACACAAGAAAGGTTTGAGCATGAAGTTAAGGAACTTGCTCAGGGGGTAATATGCTTGCTGTGGGAGCATGAGACTCTTTGAGTTCAGATCCCTAGAAGACACAAAAAGTCTAGAGGTGGCAATGTGTGCCTATAACCCCAATGCTGCGGGGCCTAGAAAGAAGGGTCCAGAGACTCACTGATCAGCCAATCCAACCAAACTGGCAAGCTCTAGATTACAAGAAAGATGCTGCCTCAAAAAAGTAAGGTGAAGAAGCAGCTGAGGAAAGCACCCTGATGTCAACCTCTGGCCCCCACATGCACCTACAGATGAGCAAGTGTATACACAAAGGCTCATTTCTCTGCTCTCATCTCTTCACCATTTCTTCCTTTCAAATTTATTTTTCTAAATGCATCAAACTCTGTTCTAAACAGCCTTAATTTCTGGTGTACACTCACAGGCCCTAACTGAAGAGGCCTGGTGTGTGCTGGACCACTCAGTGTCATATGAAAGGCACTGGCTAGGACTTTGGCCCTTTGTCGTGATGTCAGGCACTCCCTTTCCCTGGGAACAGGGGCACAGCTCAGATTTGGAGATGAGGAAATTGCATCTTCCATTTGCAACCCCAGGAGCTCGCCTCCTCTCCTTTCTCCTCCATCATACCCTACCCGGCAGCCCTGAGCCTCTTGCCAACAACACAGAACTCTGCACAGCTGTTGCTTCTCCCAGGAACTCTGCTTGGCTGGATCCCTGACTCATCTGGTCTCTCCTCAGTTACCACCTCCTCAGAGCAGCTTTCCTCCTGCTGCCCTCTGAAGAAGCCCCGCCCCATCATTCCAATTCTCATCCTGCTTTGCTTCTTCTGTGGCTTCTGTCACTACCTACTATCACCCGTGTGTGCATATGCTTGCTGTTTGTTTCCTTACCTACAATATAAACCCCGTGAGAGAAGTCCCACTACAGACACTGATGGCACATAACATACATTCAATAAATATTTACTGAGTGAATGAATCAAGAAAGAAACATCATCAAAAAGTTTCAAATGTTCTCCTTGCTATGGTGTAAATGAAGCAGATTGCTGAAAGATGCTGGGAGCCAATTTACAACTTAGCTGCCTGAGAAAGTTGCTTGACTTAAAATAGCCTCCTGCAATACCCTCAATTAGAAACTAGAAATTATGGGCTAGATTTGGAACATTCTACTTGGAGTTTGTGGGGATTGGTGAGATGTGGGGGCAGCTAACTGGCTCTAAGTGGCAAACAGGCTCAGCAAGCAGAAATCTAGTTGCATTGGTGGAAGCTGCCTCCTCAGAGCATCGGAAGTAGCTTCAGGAAGACCAGGCCACTGCATTTTGGCCAAAATAAGGAAGAAGTCACCCAGAAGTGGGCATTTCACTTAACTCTGCCTCCTTCCCCAGGCTCCCATTCTGCTGCCCCCTGTACCAGCCTGGCCACTCTAAAGCACCCAGTGAGAGAGGCAGAGAAGAGCCCTAAGTCTGTTTCAAGGAGGAGAAAAAGCAACAGAGCAGCACCCATCTGCTTCTAAGCACTATGTGTCCAAAGACATGAAGGAGGACACAACAAAACCAGAACATAAAAGCAGCAACAGCTTCATGTCTAAAACAAGAAAGGGATGGGGCAGGGTAGAAAACAAGATTCACTCCAGGCTCTGCGACCTAAGGGCTCCTTCTTCTTCCTCTGAACTGAAAAAATCCATCAGACTGATCTGATGGGGGGGGGGGCTACAACCCTACAGGGCTGGGTAGACTATTCAGTGCTTAGAAACACAGGCTGCTCTTGCAGAGGATCTGGGTTCAGTTCCCAGCATCCACATGGCAGCTCAAACCATGATAAACTAGTTTCAGGGGATCCAGCACTCTTTCTCACACTGGCCTCTGTGAACGCCAGGCTTGCACATGGTACACATACATATATACATGCAAGCAAAGCACACACATAAAGGTAACACATATTTTTAAAAGAAAAATACATGTGACAAAAATAATAATAAATAAACACAAAGGTAATGAAGACCTAGAATGAGAACAAGATCAATATGGCAGGGGAGGAACGAGCAGAAGGTCACCTTGGGCATCTTCTCAAACACAAGGTAAAGAGGAGAGACAAGATCACTAGGGCATCTGTGCAAGAGACCAGAGTCCAAACGCATTGTTTCTACAGTCATTTAATCATCTCTCAAACAGTTCAGGAAGTGTGTAAGTACTGAGTACACAAGCAAGAAAAAGAGACAAGTGCACATGTACACTCAGGTTCTGTTGGGTGAAATATCAAGGGATTATTAACAGGATGATTTCAAGTCAAAGTAAATTTTCTAAAGACAGTATGGAAGGGTGAAATGCTAGACATGAATGTGGGGTGCAGTCATGGCAGGTCTTACTGAGGAGGTTGCACAGTCCTGGGCCTCGGACTTGGCCAGGCCCTCCTTCCAGCCATGCCAAGAGCACCTTACACATGTCCTTTAGAGTTCTGCCATGGTTCAGAGTTGCCCATTCGATAGATGTCTTTCCTCCATAAGATTCCAACACCGACAAAGTTCCCAGGACATTTAAGAAGTGTGTGAGATGGGTGAGCATTGCAAGGAAATGTTTCCCAAATGCTGGGGAAGGAGAGACTCAGAGGTCCTGAGCACTGAGGTCTGTTACTAGAAGAATGTGTGATGAGAGCTATAGAAAGATTTGTCTGTTGTAACAACACATAGAAAACATGCTATACCATTCCTGTCTCCTTCCAGAGCGACCATCCTACCCAAATCCACTCTTCTTCCTGTATCCCTCTGGTACTGAATTTTACTTCCACTCTAAGTAGGGAATATAAACATGTAATGCCCTGCCTCCCATGCAGTAATCAGGTCTACCAACCAAATCCACTAACCAAATTTATCCTTCCTCTTGGTTCAGATCATTTGTTGCTTCTGGTAGCTTAAATTATTTACATATTCATCTTCCTTCCAATCTGCCTTCCAACAGGCCTCAAGTAGGCAGGGACAGGAAAAAATGAGAAGCATCCAAGCTTTAGTATATGACCAGGTTATTTCTATTTAAAAACAAAATCCCTTTCAGTCAGGGGCTGGGAGGGTATCTCAAGTGGAGCCTGCCTAGCATCCTTGGGATCCTGACTTGAGTCCACAGCCCTGCAAAAACAAGTAGACAAAACAAACTCCCATTCATGTGTTGGCACAGTAAGTCATGCATAAATCCCATCCATGGTCTTGGCACAGTAAGGCCATGCTTCAAAGTGCTGTCCTGCTCTGCTCCAAAAGCCAGCAGTAAAAGGCACTGCCAGTCTCAAAAACAAAAACAACAACAAAAACAAAACAAAACACCTCCACAGAGAAATACAAATGAGAAAGCCACATGTGTGGCTGAAGCCACCGGGTTGCTGGGCTCTTGGTCTGGCAGCTAGGATTTCAGCAACTTATGTGTCAGAGATCTAGACCTGATTTCCCTTTGATGTTAGGGGACCATGTTTACAAAAAGAAAAGTGAGAGGACAGCACTCACTGCTCTCTGGGATACATCCATTCGTGGCATTTATGTGGACTTAGAAGCAGCAGGCATATATACTGTCTTAACACATGAAAATAAGCTAAGTTACCTACTGGCTCAAGGCTGGGTTTGCAACACCTTTAGTTTTAACTGCAGGGCTCAAACTCCAGGCCACCTTGATAAGGTCTGTACTGGAGGCCAGACGGGAACAGGGTAGATGAAATGGCGTAACTAACATGAAGGCAATGTGAGCATGCACAGCTGTAGGAAGAACCTCCTACTCAATGAGCCTGAAGCCATCACTCTAAACCACATTAGACAGTCAATAAGACTAATTCTACTCCAGATAAATGTGTAAACAGGATCTTCTACAGGATCAATATTCTATAGGATTTTAAATTTTTCCTTAAAGATTTTTAAATAAACCATTGAGAAATTAACACAGAGCAGGGAAGATGGATCCGTATGTAAAAGCATTTCTTGCCCAAACCTGGCACTTGAGTTTGATCCCTGGGACCCACACAAAAAGCAAATACGATGGCTCAAATCTATAATCCCAGCACTCCCACAGTAAGATGGGAAAGTCAGGAGAATCAACTAGAAGTTCATGGTCCAGCTAGCATAGCATGGCAGAGAAACTGAAACCAAGTGAAAAGAAGGAACTGAATCCCCAAAGTTGTCCTGACCTCCATACATGCACATTCATACACACATACACACACACACACACACTTTTTTAAAAACTGCAAGACTCATACACAAATAAGAACATAGAGTTATGAAACAAAACAAAAATGAGCATAAATGAGAACAGATGGATCTGATGGAATCAAATATGTATCTCAGCTTCGGAACTACAGTCACAATTGAGATTAAAAATAAAAGCAAAAACACCCTCAACATCTTAGATTCAAACAGTCAAAGAGAGGCTTGATGGAGATAAGCAGCACCAATGCACTCAAAGCACAGCAGAGAGGCCACAATTAAAAGAGTAATTAAAACTCATAAAGGACAGATAGCAAGGCCGAAGTATTCATCCAGAAGTTTCAAAAAAGATAGTTTTTTTTTGTTTGTTTGTTTTGTTGTTGTTGTTGTTTAAGCAGTGTTCAGAAGAACAAGTATTGGGAATTATATATAAGTTATGATCTGCAGATCTGGCCAGGGATCCCCGGCTGGGGAGTTCACAGGCCCCAGGCAGAACCTACCACTATTATTTTACCCAACCAGCAAAAGCATCAA